CAGAACAGATCCAACCGTGCGCGAGGGGGTCTTGGGGTGGAGGACGCTCTGCGGTTGGGAACTGTTCCTTGGCGTGTCGCGGCGGCCGCCCCGGCGGGGAGGGAGGAGGGGGAGGAGGAGGAGGGGAGGAGGAGGAGGAGGAGAAGGAGGAGGAGGAAGAGGAGGAGGAGGAAAATAAGGAGGAGGAGGGAGGGGGGGGTCAGGGTCACGAGCTTTTGCTTGGCGTGTCGGGCCTCCTGCTCTCTCCCCGTGCTCCCGCCTCAGTCTTCACCACCCTTCCTCACTCTTCCTCTCCCTCCTCCCTCCTCCCTCCTCCCTCCTCCTCCCTGTATCCCTCGTCCTCCCTTGCCCGCCTCGCTTATCACTTGTGACTCCTCCTCCCTTTATCCTCCCCTCCTCCCTTTATCCTCCCCTCCTCCCTCAGTCCCCCAACCGCAAAGGCGGCGAGCCATGATCTGGCAGCAGCAGAACTAGGCCAGAGCATCCATGTTCCCTCACACCCCTCGCAGCTGCCATCATGGGGGCTGCTTGGGGCCCACCCTCTCCCACCAATTCACCAGTACACCACGCCGTCAATAGGCACTGGAGGGGACCAGGGACTCCTTTGTGGACCCTCGGCCAGAGAAGACGTCCATAAAAAAGAGTCCAAACGCACCGCCACCTTCGTCATCTACACCGTAGACCAGTACACCAGTCAACCAGTTCCTCACATGCCTCTTCGCCTTCACTGAGTCCCCCTCCCCCCCTCTGCCTCAGCGTTCATGGCGCTGGGCAGGCGCAGGCCGCCTCGGGAGGGGCAGGGAGACCGTGCCACGGGAGGCCGGACAGGGCAGGCTGCAGCCCAGAGCCGCTGCCAGCACCGACCTTGGCCGCAGGGCCGGGTGCTGAGCACAGCAGATGCTCCAGAGAGCAGGAGGGGCCCAGCTGCGGGGGGCCCGGGACGGCCCCGACCCCGCACCGCGGCCCTCGGGCCGCCTGCGGGTGGGGTCGGCTCCTGCGACGCTCGTCGGCGCCGCTTGGAGGGAGGGCTCGTGGCCCTCCCTCCGAGGCCGGGCGATGGCTGGTCGCGCGGCTCCACCTCGGACTCCCCCCAGAGCCAAGGTCCCCCAGAAGGCCCGCATCCTGCCCCAGAGGTCCGATGTCTTGAACTGCTCAGTGCGCTGTACGGCAGCCACGGGGGCCCGGCGAGGAACTTCGCAAGAATGGCGTCCTGAATGTGTCGATACGCTAGAGGTCTGGGCTGGTCCTCACTCATTCCTCTATCCCTCTATCCTCAGGGGCGCGCAAACATGGATTAGCGATCCATGGATCTGGCGCGCGGTCGCCAAATCCATTGATCGAGGGATGCCCTCCCCAAAATGCGGCCGGTGCCGCCTCGTCCGGCGGCGGAAGCCCGCAACTTCCCATTGAAACGGAACTCGTCGCTAACCCACGCCCCCGTGATCCGTGTTTGCGATCGCCTGACTCTATCCTCCCTCCGTCCTCATCCGCGGCCGCGGGCCTGCTGGTGCCTCGCCTTGGATATCCCCTCCTCGTCCGGCTCCCGCCAGCGGTGGTCCTCGGCGGGGCGCCACCGAGGGCCGGGCACCGCCGCGTGGCGCGGGACGCTTCCAGTGGCCCACCACTCCTCCTCCTCCTCCTCCTCCTCCTCCTCCTCCTCCTCCTCCTCTCCTCCTCCTCCTCCTCCTCCTCCTCCTCCCTCCTCCTCCTCCTCCTCCTCCTCTCCCGTACTCGTCCTCCTCCTCCTCCTCCTCCTCCCTCCTCCTCCTCCTCCTCCTCCTCCTCCTCCTCCTCGTTCTCCTCCTCCTCCCCTCTCCTCCTCCTCTCCTCATCCTCCTCCTCCTCGTCCTCCTCCTCCTTCGCCTCCTTCTCCTCCTCCTCCTCGTCCTCCTCCCTCCTCCTCCTCCACCCCCTCCTCTTCCTCATCCTCCGCCTCATCTTCTTCTTCATCAGCATCAGCAGCAGCATCAGCATCAGCATCAGCATCTGCATCATCATCAGCATCATCATCATCATCAAGCAGCATCATCATCGCCACCATCAGCATCAGCATCAGCATCAGCATCAGCATCGCCATCATCATCATCATCATCATCATCATCATCATCATCATCATCATCATCATCATCATCATCATCAGCATCAGCATCAGCATCAGCATCAGCATCATCATCAGCGTCATCAGCATCATCATAATCATCATCATCAACATCATCATCATCGTCATCATCATCAACAGCAGCATCAGCATCATGATCAACATGATCGTCAGCATCATCATAATCATCAGCAGCAGCATCATCACCACCACCATCATCAGCATCAGCATCTGCATCATCAGCAGCATCGTCATCAGCATCATCATCATCATCGTCATCATCATCAGCATCATCATCATAATAATAATCATCATCATCAGCATCATCAGCATCATCATCATCATCTCCGCCTTCATCATCATCATCAGCAGCAGCATCATTATCACCATCAACATCACCAT